CAAGGATCCTTATTAATGGACATGTTTAATAAAGAACAGTATTTCTAAAGAAAGTAGCTAAAAATAGTAAGACTGCAGTAGAATTTGAAAAAAGGTATTTTTGAAGGCAAAAAAAAATCATTTCTGGATTGAATTAACATTGTTTAAAATACTTTGTTAGCATGGAAAGTGATATGCTTCCAGAAATGATCCATAAATAGCCTAATTGATTTTAATAGTATTTACATTTCTGATGTAGCTAGAGTACATTGTATCAGCACAATTATGCAGTAGAGTCTCAACAACTTAAAACTTCTTTTACCTGTACTCTATTTCTATGCAAAAACAATAAAATCCCCACAATCCTAGGTATCAAGGGATCTGATTATTTTTAATGAACACTTCTTATAATGAACTCTTAATGCTGTACATACCATTGCACTGAAAAAAAAAATCAGATCTAAATTTTGGTTATCTGAAACAGCAACTGTGACAGAGAGCTTAACTGTAAAATACTTAACAAAAGCTGAACTAACCTCACTCTCTGGCACAGTGAGCTTCTAAGGAAATACCAAAGGACTTTTATTTATCTTATGCTTCCTATCATACTCTACAACTTCAAATAATGCTGCTCCTCCAACCACATATGCCAAGAAATGACCTGCTAAAATCTGTGGGTTACCTTAGTTTACACTATATTAATTTACTTTAGCAAGATTTTTATCATGAAAGAGACAGGTGGAAGTTTATACCAGAAGTACATCACCCACCTGATAAATTTATTCATATTCACAACCCTGCCCAGTGCTTACACTCATTTACACTCTTGTCTCATTTCTAACCCCATTCTCTACTGGTATTATCTTTCTGCGATCAAGTAAGCTCCAAATCAATTAACAGTATCAAGAACATTTAACAGAAAGATAATGGTCTTCAACATGGAATTTAACAGAAAAAGTATAAACCTAAGGTTATTTGAGAGTTGGGTACACAAATCATTATTGCTTTTCCACAAGGATCAAAGCAGACTGAAGTTTGTTAAAAATCTGATGAAAAGCTGTTCTGGGCTCCAGTGCGGGTGCAGGCGGTGCGGAGGGGCTGTCGGCCCGGCTGCGTGGGCTGAGGCAGGGTGAGGTGGGTGATAGCCTGTCTTCGCGTCCCGGTCCACCGCTTTCTCCAGCAGACACTTCTGCGGGCACTCAGAATGCCTTTTGCTTCCTCACCATGTGATCTTTAGCTTCAGCTTTTTCACAGTTAATTGTGGAAGTCCTCAACGTGCGAAGCAGTTTGCAGAACAGGGCTGCACGGAAGAGAGAAGTGTTTGTGGCAGTCCCCATGTCTGTGGTTTGTGTGGCTGCTGACGGCAGCTGTGAGAATGGCGTTTGGATGCGCCACAGATGCTCTATTTCCAGTGTCTTAGGAATTGGAATGACAGTTTGAGTGGCATATTTCAGTAGAAGTGTGGAATTTAGCAAGTCTGTCAGAGGAATGCGAATACAAAAATGCACACTTTAAATTCTCGTCTCTGATGAAACACGATGCAGCGAGAAATTGTTTGGAGACATGTTTTTCCTAGCATTTATTTGCATGACTTGCCATGTCATTTCAGTGACAGATATTTAAAATAGTTTTCTTTCAAGTAAGGGTCACATACTTCTTTCTCCAGTATAGAGACTTAACGCTTTTCATTTAAAAAACCAAACTTGGTGGACCATGAAGCTACCCAAGTAACCTTTGTTGACAGATAAAAGTATTAATCTATTCAGGATCTTTGTGTGGGACTAATTTGTATGTAACAGGTGTAGTATTTATACTTTCTTTGACTTTGTTTTGCAGGTTGGAGCTATAATACTTAGTCTTAAACCTGCAGCAATGGGTAGAACTTACTTTGTTGAGGAAGCTATTGGGCAGTATCTTTCAGACCTCAGCACAAACTTAAACCCTTATGTCACTGGCCTGTTGATAGGGCAGGTAAGTGTAATATCTGAAGCCTGTTCCATTCATTCATGAAAATAGGGGAAAACCCTCTTGGCCTTAATTACCGAGGATAAGTAGTCTATTAACATCACATTGAGCTTGTATAATGCAGGAGGGTGGTAGTATGACCAGAAGGGACTTTTGTGAAGGGTTTGCAGTGTCAGCCAACTATTTAAGTCTTCTAAAATTGTTTTGTGAAAGATATGACTCGCAGAAAAGAAATTAAAATCGTGAAGATAAAATTCATTGCTAAAAAAAGATTTAAGGTAAAGCCCCAAAAAATCATGAAGTAATTATTTTTGTAACAGATTACTATAGAGTTTAACAATACCTAGTGTAAAGCAGCCCTTATAGTTACTATGTTATGCAGTATATTCTCAGAGTGGATATTAGTCTCATGGTATATTGCTTATATTGGTGTTTTTGAAAGTGTTCCCCACAAAGAGACTATGTAATTCGGGCTGTTCGTACGCCTCCGAAGGAAGAGCTGAAGGGAGACCACATCACTCCTTCAAAACTGGCATCTGTTGATGAAGAATGGATAACTACACATGCCAGTCAGGTAACACAGCCTGAGTTAGTGCAGGGGATGGGAGGAAGAGAAAGGAAGTAAGATTGACAGAAAACTATCTCATCACTAGTGTAATCTCAAGCCTTTTTCTCAAAAAAGAACCTTCCTAACTGTGCTAGGCACAGATATTTTAAACCAAAATATCTATATTATTTCAAAGTTTCAGTGATGAAGTAAAGACTTAACAGGACTGGAGCAAGAAAATTCGAGATGTGTTCCTACATTTCAGAGGAACCTATGAGTGAAAAGCAGTCTTGATTGTTTGATTTCTGCTCTTGATGCATACTTGTATCATTATACATTTTTGATATATCCAGTTACATGGTTGCTAGATCTCTGATTATTATTAATAAATGTTTATTTTTATTTTTAAAGGTTTCTAGAATGCTTCCTGGAGGCATATTAGTTCTTGGTGTATTTATTATTGCAACTCCAGAACTGTCAAAAGATAGTCAAAATGCTTTGCGTAAGGTAAGTAGACTTCCTGGTGAAAATAGGAATACCTTTAGGTGTGTATTTGAGTAATTGTCTATGATTGAGTTGATATATATGGTTGCTCTGTTGCTTTATTATTAAAAGCACAAATGTTCTGGTTTGACACATGGTTTTGAGATGGAAACCACAGAAATCGCTGTCCTGTGGAACTGTACCATAGCTTGCACTAGCTGAATTTCTGTTTCTTGTGATGTTTGCTACTGCAATAGCAGATCTCACTGTGTTTACTGAAAATGGACGTTCTGGCTTAAGGAAAACATCTTCGAGGTTTATACTGAGCTAAATCCTTGTGGCACAATTGTTTGTAATGGTAGCTATGTTAGTTTTTTTTTCTGAATGAATTGTTCAGATTAGAGATGTTTACAATAATGAAAGATCTGTAGCTCTGATTCCTTTAAAAGAATATCTTGTATAGAACTAGCAGTGCTGACTTAGGTGTGTGGACTTATATTTGAAAGCTACTTTAAATGTGCTACTGTCTGATAGACTTAAAATGCATTTTTGTTACAGTACTGGGGCATCTAGTGCCATATTTAGTTTCTGTTCTGTAGATGTAGGTTCATGTTATCGTTTTCATAAAGTAAGCATGGTAAGTGATTTAAGCATGAGTAGGTTTTGAAGCCTAAGTTCCAAGATTCAGTTTTGGCAGTGCAATTCAATTGTATTTCTGTTGTGGTTACTGAAACTAGTAGCTGTTTTGCACATTTGTTTTTCCTGATCCTGGACTGGTTGGCATAAAGCTGTGGTATTGTTATAAGGAGAAAAGCTTACAAGTTGAGTATGTGAATGTGTGTTACTTGGTTTGATTTATGAGGAAGCTGAATTAAGATTTCACAAACAACATTTGCTTTGGAGTAGTTGCCTATGAATCTTTGTTGAATGTTCTTTTAACATGACATGTAAGCTGTATTTCCCATTTATACATAATTGTAATATCACTTGGACTAAGAACTTTAGTACAAGACTATTTTCCTTAAATTATAATGCCTTATTTTTGTGGGGAAATCCATAATACTTGATTTTGTCTTTAGCTAATCTTCTCAGTGGAAAAGTCCTTGACTAAAAGAAGGCTCTGGAAACCTGCTGAGGAGGAGGTCTCGGACAGAGCAGCTCTTCAAATCTGTTCTGCTACAAAAAAGTATCCTTCATGAGCAAGCTTTATTGTTTGAGACTGCTATCCCCAACCTATTTTCTGTAGTTATTTCTGAATGAATGATAAATTGGGAGGAGGAAGTTAAGTTTGAATTCAGATCAATAAGTTGGAATCATTAAGGTTTCTTATTAGCCATGAGTAAGACTTTTGACCCTCTTATCTGTGCAAAACTTTTCATAATTTCTTAATGTTAGGTTTATTGGTGTGGTGGCATCAAATTTTGCCTTCCCCAGTCCTGATTTGCATAAATTGAAGAAAACACCTAAAATACTGTATAGTTTCTTGAGCTTGCTGTTATCAGTGATAACTTATATGGAAGTGGGGAAGTAGCGGGCATGTGGGATCTGTACTAGTGGTGCAGAAGAGTGCTGGGACTGTTGATAATGAGGTAATTCAAGGAGAGAAAGCAAGGTTTTTCCTTAGGTGAGAGAGGAGGACAAATTGCAAATTGGTGCATTGGTAGTCTCCCTGTGAATACCTATTGATCTTAATATATTTGTAAGAGATGGGACAGCATCATTATGATAGTTGGAGTTTACAGTCAAGTGTTTTTCCACTTTTTTACACTAATGAAAGGTGAGAACTTTCTTCAGAGCATGAATTAGCTCAACAAAGAAGTAAAGGACCAAATTAATTATGAATTGTTCTTGCTTGGTTTTTTGCTTTTCACTGGATCTTTTTCTTTAAGTAGCAAAGAGTAGTTTGCCGAACCTATGATGTCCAAGATCCAAAGGTAAGCTTGTCATCACCCTCTGTGTCATATACAGATTTTTAATGTGTAACACTCTTTAAAAAAAAAAAATAAATTGAGGTATACAGTGTTTTGTATAGATGCTTTATAGGGTTTTTTTCTGCTCTCAGAGTTCAGCTAAACCAGCAGATTGGAAATACCAGAGTGCTCTCTCTGCTTCCTGGTTAGCTTTGGACTGCACAGTAAATGTTAATATTCACATTCCACTGCTTGCTACTTCACCAAACCATGACTTGGAGAAGAATACCAAGGTAACTAACCAGCTGCACCAGTTTTGTAATTGGTCTCTACCCTACTTTTTCTGTTGAAAATAAAGTGAAAGATTTGAATACTGTGAGTGGAGTAGAACTAAAAAGTGGAGAATGTTTGGCAGGTATTCCTCTTTTACATGTAATTTGAAGGTCCTATGAAGCATTCATAGTATAAAAAGTGTGTATAGCTTTTCTTCTGCTGTGCCTAGTGTTGGCAGTTTCCTTTGCTCAAAGTTATTTAGCAATTGTTACGAGTGTTCTAACTAAAGTCTCTTCTGCTCCACCTAGTGAAAGGTTACATCCACTGAGAACAGGGGTATGGTGTGCTTTTAATATGAATTGACTTTCAGTAGGCTGCATCCCTCTACAAAAATGAAATCCCTGGGGTAGCACTTCAGTATTTTGAAATCCTTGTTTCTTAAGGAATATATTCTGAACATGGTGGTTTTAGGATTTAGTTTTGGAAAAGCATATAGACAGTTTTTCCGAGACTTTAAAACTCTCTTGGAGTAACTGCTGAAACATGTATTTCTGTAATTTTAGCATGATACTGTCCAACTCTTCTAGTGAAATTATTTTTTTCTCTTTCTTACGAGATTTTTGTGTTTGTACTTTTTTAAAGAATGGGTTAAATCGATGGTCAAAACAGATAGAGGACAGTGTTTTTCTGATCAATGGACAAATTAAAGATGATGATACAGAACTACTGGAAGGGCAGGTGAGTACTGAACAACAAGGAATTGAACTCTAATGGAGTATAGTTAGAACCTCTGTAGTTAGAGATAAAGCATTGACTGAGATGCCTTCTGTACAATATTTGTTCATCTAATTGGCCTGTGTCACAGGACCGCTTGTGTTCCCATCTTCATTGCTGCAGATTGCCTCTTTTTATGGCAATGTGAACACAATTATTATATGTAAAGTTTGACTAAAATTTTTTCTATGTGCTGTCTCATTAAAAAACATAAGTAAGGTGGTGTGAATGTAGGTGATGAGATTTCTAAGACCTATATATGTCTAAATGTTTAACAGAGTGGAAGCACCTTGTTTGGCTGATGACTTAATCTCTCCATTTAGTTTTGTAATTATATTCTCATGGCTATTTTTTATGCACCATTTTTCCTCTCTTAAAGCCTTATAGACTAGGGCACATTTTATACCATAGTGAGGAGGCTGATTCATGGGGATCTTCATTCATGTTTCATGATACAAGGAATTTTTCTTCCCTCAGAAAAAAATAAGAGGAAATACTCAGTCCAGTACTCAGTTTTCTGATGTCAAGGTTCTGACACAGTTGGTGAGTATTTAGTGGTTCGTAAAGTATAATCTCACTGTTGTCTTCTAGAATACAATAAAAAATAAAATAACATTCAGAATTATTGTCTAGAAATCCAGTTTACTTAATCCTAAAACTCCCCCCTCCCCCTCATTATTGACTGTGAAACTGATTGTGGACAGATCTGCTTATTTCATGTCTTCATAAGTTCTTGTGGAGTGATAACCATGTTGCTGAATAATTGCACAGTATAGCTGCAAGTAAAATTTGAAAAACTGATTATAGAAATGGAGTTCTGTGAACTAATTAATTTGATAGCAGGACATCTCTACATACCTGCATATGTTGATTTCAAGGTGACTTTGATACTTTTCTGTATCACCCTCACACTTCAATATGCCATGGCTAGCTATGCACATTTACTTGAATGCTTTCATCAGAAGCTCAGTTGCTAGTACTGGATTAAGGTGCAGATCCTGGGAGCTGAATCACAGTCTAGAGCTGTTGGGTCTGTGTCAGGAGTTTCCTCTCTATCAGAGGTTATGTTGACCTGAACCCTGAATTAGGTGCCTGAGTCTAGGTCCTAAAGTTCAAATGTGTCCAGGCATTGTTTTGTAGGCTTCCTGCACAGCACAGGCTATCCTGCTTTGTCAGGTAGTTCCTGGATTCTCTGAAGCTATGTTTAGCAAAACTTTTAAAAATGTGTAAAATGCCATTTTAAAGATTTGATGAGTATCTTGTAGTCTTTTGTTGTTACATTGTTCCAGCGGTTAATTGCCTCAGAGAGAGGAAAGCTTTTTATTTTGGCAGAGGTAGTTGATGCAGTTCATGTGAAAGTTATGCATCCTGGTGTTTCCAGATGTTGTCTTTGAGTGCCTCATGCAGCACATTAATTGTTTTGGTAATTAGGGTGAATATTTCTAGGCATTTGATACAGTTCTAAATGTGACCACATATATAATCTAGCACTGACTGATGGGATACCATTGACTATGTTTACCTATATAGTAAACATTCAGACTTCATCGTTCAAAAAAACCACAAAATCTTTAAAATACTTCTAGATTACAATATTGATATTAGTCACAAGCCACTTGCCTGAAAAGTTTTTAGAAGTCTTATAGACAGAAATATTGCAAGAAATGAAATGTCTGGAAAAGTAAATACATTTTCCATAAAGGAGAGAGATTTTCAGTCTTAACTAAGAAGGCTAGAAAAAAAAAAATAGAGTTCTGAATTATGAGGGAAAACAGGTTATATGTAAACATCTAAGGTATGCTAGTAATTTCCTATCTCTGTTTTTGTTATTCATGCTGTATGTGCCTAGGTAACAAGATAAAACTGAAACATTTATTTTTCAGTCCCAGAGTTCAAGTCATAGATCAACAGCTACAGTCCAGGTCTGCAGTGGTTCCATAAATCTCAAAGGTGCTGTGAAATGCAGAGCCTATGTACATAACAACAAGCCAAAAGTCAAAGAAGCTATTCAGGTAGTGAAAATGTGGTTAAAAAAAACATTTTTCTGAAGTACATGAAATTTGTCATACTGTTTTTTCTTTGCCAAAACATCATGGTCTAAACTTGTGTCAAGATATTCATCCCCTCAAACATAAGGACTTTTTTAGAAACCATCTGTGTGTGTGATGGATTCAGTTTCTTTTTCACATTTAGAAATCTAAAATTTCTAAATTAATTTTTATTTTAATTTAATTTAGAATTAAGAAAAGGTTACACACTATATTTTTGTATGTGTAGAGGGAAAATACAGATTTATTTGTTCAGTGATTTTTATTTTTTTTTCCTTTATTGAGCCAATGCCTTGCGATTATTTTTCTTTTTAATAGTAATGACTAGAAGTTGTCAGTTTTTACGCTAACAAAACATTTTTCTCAGCTTTTAGTTGTTTTCTTTTTTGATTTTAATTCTTTTGATGTTAATTTCTCTTTATTGGACTTTTAAAATTCTCTTAAGAGTTTTTATTTTCTGGAGTAATACCCTTTCAACATGGGTTAAACCCTGTGAGGGTCTCTAGTTGTTCCTTAGTGGTCAAAAGCTTTGCAAATGGCTTTTATATTACTGATGTTTTTGCTTTGTCCTTGCAGGCTTTGAAAAGAGACATAATAAACACATTGAGTGATCGTTGTGAAATACTATTTGAAGATCTCATTATAAATGAAGGACCTCACAAAAAAAGTAGGAATTCAGAAAAAAAACAGCTTACATTTGCATTGAATTTTGGTTCTCATAGAAAATTCTGCTTTGGTTAGAACAGGATAAAAAACAAAGTGTAATTTGTTTTGCAGCTTTGACTTTTTCTTAAATCATGAGAATTTTTGTTAAGTTTAGATAATGTTCTTTGGCATCACAGTTTTCACAGAAGGTTTGTGTTCCTTTCTCATGACCACAACACGCAATTTCAGCTTCTTGCTCACTGCTCACAGTTGCAATGCCTGTCATTGAAGTTCTAACTGTAACTTGCACATTTTAAATTTATTTTTTTTTAATCACTGTACAGTGTTCCTGTTAATATTGAAGTATGCTGAAACATGGTAGGATTAAAAGAACCATCTGGACATGGCATTCTGTGTTCTTGTATCACTTGAGTTATGCTAGTAGACATGAGCTCTGAAGTTCAGTAGTTCATCTCCATTAAATTAAATCTGGCATTGTATGTAGTGATTATGATGTGAAGTATCCTGACTTTTTTTTTTTAAACTATACAAAGATATGATTTGTGTTGTCTCTGTCCCCTGGACTTAATTTTCTTCATCAAATACTATTTTACAGGCTTTGTGTCTTTTAAAGAAGTAGATATTATTTCAGCACCATGAATAATTGCTGGATTGTGTTAGCTTGAATTTAACAGGGCACTATGCAGTGGTCAGAACATACTGCTCATTGATCTAATAGAAATAAAGCTTCCTATCGTGATTATATTAAAAACTAAGGCGGTATATGCTGAGACCAGATCTCCTAGCTCACGTTGGATGATTCTTTAAACTTTGAGTCAGTACAATGCTGTCAATTTATCTTCTTGTATTGTTTTGGGGTTTTTAAAATATTAGTTAATTGAAAAATCAGTTTGAAGATGTTACATAAAGGAAAGCCTTTAAAAAGATACTATCTTTGGTAGTGAAAAGAAATGGAAACAGTTTAGATTGTGTAAGAAAAAACGATTCATGTTTGGAGTTACCATTTACCTTAGGCTAACGTGGTTCCTTCTGCTGTTAAAACAGCTTTATCCAGCTTGTTTTCAATTGCGTGCAGTTCTCAGTTTCCTCTTTAGGTGGCACCCGTAATTTGTGGTTTATGGTGTAAAGCAGCCAAATGTTTGCAATCCTTTGTGGTATTGAAATCATGTGCTGTTCTGTGTACACACTTATCTGCAGTCTTTCCCGGAGTTCTTTTGCTAGTCATTCTAAACGCGAAGAGAGGTCTGTTTAACATTTTATGGTCTATTTTGGAGGTGTCTTGGGCATTTCTGGAGAGATTAATAGAAGAACATAAATCAGCATAATAGCAGCCAAAACTTTCACAAAACAGTAGCAACTAACCAAGTAATGCCAGAAAACAGGACTTTTACATGGAAACCTTGAGCAGTTCTTTTGCAATAGCTGTATCTTATGGTCAGAGATTAATGAGGAATCTTACCATAAACTGTCAAGGCTTTTAATTGGATGATATTTTTCCCCCTTTTCTTTTAGGTTTTGAGAGGGAATATCATGTCTTGCCTCAAAGACTGTTTGTCCCTATTGCTGGATCCAGTGTGATGCTCAGTGATTATAAGTTTGGTGATGAGGCCGATGGAGAAATTCAGGAACGTTTTGTTGAGATGTTGGATCAATCTGTGCAAGCTGAAGATATCCATATAGCAGAGGAGATTAACACAGGTAAACACAGTATCTGAGAACCAGGATATAGACTGCATCATGGATTACGAAAACACTGACTAATGGCATAGGCCAGTTTTATCTAGATAGAGATATGCTTAAAGTTGGCTTACTTCGTATCAAGCTCTAAAGGTTTATATCGGTCTAGTTACAGTTTAAATATATTTGTGAAAAGCGGTAAGGGTTCTTGCAGTTTTTGTATCTGACTTATAACAGACCTCTCAAATATTTTGATTTTTCACTGCATTATCTGTGCAACCATGGTTACAGCTTTTGAGCTACCATAGATACATAAATATATGGCTGAACAAGGTTTGTGTACATTACTCTGCACATGAATTAAGGGTGATCTATATTGGCAAATAAACTGTTAAGGAAAACCTGTAAAGCTTTATATTCTGGTTACTTTTTCAGTAGTTAACTTTGCTGGTTTAAGAGCTGAGTAGTTCTGATACTACTTAGAATAAGAAGCTGAAAGCTTTAGCCAAATCTACTGTTTTTTCACTAAATATTAAAAAATAAATATACTCTAATGTGTCTTTCAGGAAGATCTCATGCAAAAACCTGACTTTCAGAAATACCAAGTACCTTTTTTTGTTCTGAGCATTTTCATTTATGTATCAAATGCAGTGCCCAAAACTGAAGTTTTGTGATTGACCCAAAATGGAAAGGAAATTGAGAGAGCTTTTCATTTTCTACTGAATGTCTTAGAAGTTTATGATCTGATTATGAGGCTCTTACATTTCTTTTAATACAGATATTTTGCTAAAAATCTGGTTACTGACTTTATTTTTCTGCATATTTCTGGTTTGTATTGTTTCCTGTTTTTTGTTTTTCCCTATGTGACTTTGATTTCAGTGTAGAGTCAGAGCTGTAGTACAAATGCATCTAATAATAATTCCTGTGATCTTATGGAAGAGATGTCTTTTCTTCCCTTTTTTTTACAGGGAAACAGTTACAGTTTTATAAACCTAAAAAAAAAAATTTCATTAATTCTCAGATAAGAACTTCGGACACTTTTTAATGTTGATATTTAGGAACAAAAAATGGAGAATGTAGCCATGAGCTTGCTGTGTTGGGTGAACTGTGGAACTGATACTCTGCTTGACTTACTTGTTTTCTTGGAGGGTTTTTTGAGTTTCTTAATTTCAGAGCTAACCATAAATTCTTATGTCTTTCCAAATTAGACAGTTTTTCCAGATTTTAACTAAACCTGTTAGCAGTGAATCTGACTCATTATCTCAAGAAGTAAAAGATATACACAGCTCAAGAACCTCAAGAAAAACAGAAAAGCCAATAAAAATATCTCTTGCATTATAAGAGTAACTAGTAATCTTAAAAGCTAATTATTATTGAGCTTTAAGGAATTAGTATAACTTAGGGAAGCAAATAAATATTGTAGCAGTGGAGATAGACATGGGAGGGAGAGAGAAGATGATTCAATTGAGCTTTATTGCTTATGTAATGATGTATGATCAGGATGTAGGGAGAAAGTACAATTAGACTAACAGCAATGCCTCACAAGGATTTTGTGCCATCAATATATGTGAAGTGATGTCTAGATAGCTCACAAAATGAGTTTGTGTGTCCTTGTAGTTTGCTGGTTATAGTTAGGTGTGTGGGACTTATTTTCTTTAAAAAGAAAAAAAAAAAAAAGTAAATTAAAGTGCACAGCAGAGGAAAGGAGAAAAAAAAAAACCAACCCATAGGGGATTTCAGAAAAAACTGAGACTGGCCTTGGCCCAGTAAACACCATAACGTTTGTCCATAGAATGAGCTCTGCTAATAGTGGTGATAGTAATAATGCTATCAGCACAACACTTTTTGATTCTGGTAATTATTGTTATGGTGTTATTAACTTGTGGTTTATTTATACACTTTTATTAATACAAGCAAGGCTGTTTTAGAAATTAGACTTGTTAACTTGTGTAGGAAGTGTTCTGCATTGTAAAGAAAAGCATTAATTTTGCAGTATGATTTTTATTGGTACTTCAGTATGAGGTGTCTAAGTATTGCTGGTTTTGTGACATAATGAGAGTTTGTGGTTTCCCTTGTGTAAAGGTGTTTTCAATGCATCATTCCATTTGGGTAGCATTTGTTTTTTCCCAAAGCTTGGTGCTGTGTTTATTAATAATACTCTATATTCAGTAATGGTGTGAAAATTGGTTTGTAGTGAATTCTCACACCAGCCTTTCTGTTTGTATCACGATTCCTGTGGTCTTAGACACTAACGTTGAATTAATTGGAAATGCTATCCGTAGTGAAGTTCTGGGGAAAGTTTGCTGATGAAAAAAAAAATATTTAAAGAACATAAGCAGGCTTTTGAGATTATTTTTTGTTGCTCTTTAAAAGATGCACTTGAGAGAAGGAGGATCTAATAAATATAACCGAAAGTTTTACTTTTTAAGCAGCTTTTAGTCAAAACATATGAAATAATGGTAATTTGAGAAGATCAGTTTTATGTGCTTACTTAGCACAGCCTCTGCTGCTGTTGCCTACAGTTTTATTCTTTTGATTCTTATTCTTTTCAGTTGTCACTGAAAACCGGGATAAAAACTTACCAACACCAATGTGATGCGGATAAGCAGACACTTCTTTATTGACGGCCAGACGTGTAGGGGAGTGTTCTCACTAACAACACGTGCCGGGCACCAGAATACTCCTTATATAGAACTTACTCGTACATATTGAGTATCCATACATAAACATACAATCTCCAAGAAATCATTAACATATTCTCCTTCTGTTTCTGATTCTGCGCAGTAAAGTTTAGAAATGTCTTGAAATGGGTCTGGGGTGTAATGTGAGTAGGTGGTCCATGAGTCAATGGTCGTGATCACCTCTGCTGGAATTACCTTTTGCTTAAGGACAGTTTTCTTTGGCAGGTACTTTCAAGCTGTTACGGTTACTTCCCTCAGTTCCCATTAATCCTGGACCTTGATAACTACTTGCGTTCTTCTGGTCCTATATATGTATTATAAATTAGTTTACAAATCATCTTGTGTTTTGTTACCTAGGTTCTAACTGTTCCTACTAAATAATTATGACCAATCCCTTTGGCCTTGGTATGGGGCTGTACAGGGGATTTTAGAGTAGCAGTCAGTTGTTAGATTCAAAATACAATAAATGTAAAATTATTTTTTACTAAAATATCTCTTAATTCTATACTTACATTAAAATCAAACACAATTTAATTTCAGTTGATAATAAAATCAGTAACACAGTGAGGTCACTACTAGGCCATGCTTTGAAATTGTTATAGAAAGTAAAAACTGACCTCTTTATAAATAGCTCTAACACTGTAATTTCAGGGTATTTAGTGCTTTAATACAAGCAATTGAAAGCTCTGCATTTATGATTGGCTTTACTAAATCCCTGTTCCTCCTTCGTGCAGGGGGTTGGGAGGGTGGTGTGTTAAATACCCTGAGTGGATAAACATAAATAAGACTTCATTAGTGGTAATCACATCTTTGTTAGCAAATTTAAGAATTAATGAAGAATTAAGAATTCATATAGTTGATACTAGAAAGCATCTGCTTTTGAAAACTCTTTGTGTGATTTATACTAAAGCTGCTTTACGTGCAAGTCTTCCATAATTTAATGGAATAAATGCCTTTGGTAACTAAATAGCTCAAGGTTGTTGTTTGTTTTTGTTTTTGTTTTTTACTTTTTCCTCTTTCTCCCTACACCCCCTCCAGCAAGTGAGCATTGCTGCCTTGATATGCAGCTTCAAAAGTTACCTTCAGAAAAGTGCAACAGTTCTTCTGAAGGTGCAAAGAAACATGAAGTTAGAGGGCACAAACTATCTCACTTGCTTGTCAGAACTAAAGCAGAAAGAAACCTGCTGGATGTAGACTTCAAAGGTGACCCAAGAAAGGTGGACAGCTTCTCTAAAAGGGATATGTTACTGTTTTATATATTAATTTATGAATTGAAAACTGTTGTCGTTCAGAAGGAATGTGGTGCTCTTACTGTGCTAGTTAAGGTGCTTACTTAAAAAGCTATCTTGCAGCAATTAGCAATGCATTTACTCTAGTTGAAGATAGTTGAAGTGTGCATATCTATATATCTTAATACCCTCTTAAGTTTCATATCAGACAGTTACTAATTGCTGTGCTCTAGTTCATCATATACAAAGTCAGTGGATTCGAGGGTAAAAATGGGTAAAGACTTCTCCTAAATATCTAGTTTGATTGCTTTTGCATAACAACAGATCTTGTGCAAGTTTGATTTAAATTTGGAAGACAGTCTGGCACGACTCATCTTAGGTGACAGAAACAACCTTTCCAATCACACATCTAGATTATACATTTCCCCCATAGCTAATGATATGATAAAGTACTTTTCCATGAATCATTTTCATATGAATCATACAAGGGATGTGCCTTACTGCTCAACTATATACTTTGTAATTTACAGGTGGTTGACACCCCCAGCCTGGAAATGGGAGATCTATTTTTATTTAGATCAGTAGTCTGTGGGCTGCTAAAACTTGGTATCTGGTACTGTTATGGCTTTTTCTTCTTCATCTTCTGAACAAGAACAATCTGTTAGGCTTTTTTTCTTATCTCAGCATGCCCATTCTGTTCTTCCTGAAGACGCCCAGATCTCACTGCAGTAGCACAGTTGCTTTCTCTTACTGCTTACTTGTCCAGAAGACGTCTGCAATAGTAGCTACTGAATTGTAATCCAAACTTTTGATGAGTGATACCTTAGCAAACTGTCCTGGAAACAGGAATGCAAATTTTGAAGAACTTTAGTCCCCTACCTCCAAGTAGCCTTATCCCTGAACTGTGTAGTCCAAAACACGCTTTCTCTGTGCAGGACAAACAGACAGGGTCAGAGGACTCAGGATTAATTCCCTTCTTTCTCTTCTCCCTCTCTTTAACAAGATGGGTATAGCCAATTGATTAGTGAAATCTTTGGAAAGGAAATTCATATTTTGTTTGGAATCCCATCAGTCTTGTAATAGAGTCAAGCTCTTTCATGTCCTGGCTGAGCAGTCTAAGGATTTAGTAATTGTTCCAAAGAGGAATGAGTCCTCTATGCCTCCTCTGAAAGTGTAAATTTAGGGGATCATCAAAAAAGAATTTCTGTGCTTTGAAAAAAATGCATTTGTGGCTATTGGGTACAGAAATTTTTCTGGGCTCACTCTTCTAGTGGCAGTGGGTTTTGCCTGGAGCCTGAACTCTTGACACATGGCTTTGAAAGGAAAACTTTGGTGTTGGAAGGTGGTTAATGGTTCATTTTGGTGGTTCCCTCTCAGAATAGTCAAATTCTCTCCAGGATATGTAAAGGTGGTTGGATGTCTTACTCTGGGAACAGGGTGTGGAAAATGAGTTTTGGAAGAGGAACTCCTTCCCAAATGTATTTTTTTTTTCTCTTTATTTTACTTTTTCAGCTACACAGAATAGTACTACGCGGTTGCTACTGTACCATTTCTACTAATATTAACTGGTTTTTCTACCATAAATGTACTTTATAAAGTCGATATGAAGTTCTTGTCCTTTTGCATTAATTCAACTGTAAAACACAACTGTTAGCTTTTCACCTGGTATTTACTTCTTCACTTATTTCCATGCAGTTGATATTTCTCCAGTTACTGATAACATGGATGACACACAACAGAAACAACTAACAAAAACAACATTGCTGTTGAAACTTCAACAAAATATGGGTATGTTACCTCCCTGATTTTTGTTAGGACAATCCAGAAACTATAATGGGCCCTTTCAGTACTGTTAGCATCCACAGCATTATTAAAAAACTGATGAGGTTCATACGATACTTTTCTAAAATGAGTCCATTTCATTATTAGTGCGGGGTGTTTCTGGGGTGGAAAGAACCAGAGCTTGCTGTTGGAACAAAACCAGCATTTGCATTCATTCAGCCTACAAGTTGATACAAAAGGCTCATGATGTAGTGTTATTTCTTTTTTGGAGAGCCACCACTTCTATAATTCTGTACTTAAAAAAACCAAAGCCAACACAGTTGAATGGCTTTGTCAAGCAGGCATCCGTAAATCAGCTAGCGACTTGCTAATCTTCTGAAGCTGACAAATATGTATGGGGTTGGTGCTGATTGTCTGCCTCAAAAATTCAACCACAGAACTCTTTCAAATACAACTTCTCCATGATATTCCTTTGTCCAGTTCTCATAGATGTGTCTGCACTTAGTATGATTCTCTTTGCTGTGAGCTTTGAGTGTCTTTTTGTACTAAAATACTACTACACTTCAGTCAACAAACGAGAAACTTTTGTTTTCTATTAATTTTTAGAAGTAGAACATGGTAACTGGAACATTAAAGAGTAGTAGCAGTAAATATGTGTTTGCTTTGGATGTAAAAATGTTTTCCCTTGAATCATCACTCAGGTGTTCCGGGGGGTTTTTTGTTACCTTCTCAGCTGCATCAGTAGCAAGCATGTTAATGAATAGGGAAAAGTTTGTTGTGCTACTTACAGAGTAGATGCAATGTGACTTACAGAGTAGATGCAATGCCACACAGAAAAGAAAAAACTTTCATAGCTTCTCTTTCTTAAAGCTTAAAATTTTTGTTATTTTTCCTCGTCTGATTCCTAGAGTTAAGCAGTAGTGCAAAGGATGTGGCTAAGCTACTGCAGAAGTATACAGTCAACTGAATTTCTGGAAGGATCCTGCTCTGATTAGAAATGACATATGGACCTTTTTATAATTTAATTATCTGATGTCATAGCTTTAGATTTTGGCTTAGCAGTGGTAGATAGTTTTTGGGGTGGCTCTTTATCCTCTTGCTTGTCCTTGACCTTGACCCTGCCCTCCACACCCTAACTGCTGCTGACTCTGCTGCCCTTGCCACTCACTGAATGCATTTCCTCTGTTATTTTAGGTGTGGTAATAGCAGCTGCTGTTGCAGTCTTTGCATCGATCTTCTCTTTCAATTACTTCAGCGATTAAACTCAAGCAACGGGAGCTTCATGGAAATATGGGCCAGTTACAAGATGGAAACACCTGGGTTTAATATATTAGTAGTTAAGAATTGTTGCCTAAATATCACAGGTTAGATGTTGAATTTAAATTGTAATTGTAGGTTCAGTTACCTTGTTCCAGCACACACTTACTGTATCAAGTAGAATCTTGCAGTTACAGTATCAAGTAGAATGTGAATCAGGTTTACAGGAAACTAACCTTGTCGCTCTGTATAAATGAATGATAGTATTATTTTCTGGAAAGATCCCTTAAAGAAATGTAAACCCTTCATTTTCTTCCTACTTGCTGTTTTAATGCAAAATGCTACTACTGATGTTTTTCAGGCTATTGGTAAGACTATAGCATAGTTACCTGGTGTGACAATTCTTCCTTTTAGGGTTCCTTTGCTAAGAGAATTCTCATTTTGTTAAAGTTAATTGGGGAAAAATTAGATTTAATGAAGCCAGCATTTGACTGTATGCATTGTTTTAGGTAATACTGGTTAACTAGCATAACAGGGACACAAACAGTTTCTAGTAGTTTCAAGACTAGACCAATGTAAATACCTTAGTTCAAGACCTGGAGAACTCAGAAATCAATAAAACTCAGAACTTTTGAGATGTGTGTATGTTGCCTTTTACTCAGTGCCTTGTGAGGAGGATTTCTCTGTCCAGCTCCAATTCAGTCATTGTTCCCTTGGAATATTAACTATTTCAGTAACAGCTACATGTAGGCAGCCCTTTTGGATTATCATGGAAGCTGTCAAAGTTGTTTGCTAATTGGGATTTTTAGACCATAAACAGATAGCTTTCCATTATGAGATCTTCTCCAGGTATTTTAGGCAATAACACTATTGTTTACATGCCACGAGGAGAGCGGAAGGAGGGAAGAATTCTAATAAGGTTAGTAAAGATAATTTGTATATGAAGTGTGATGTTTACTACAATAGAAAAAAAAAAATCCAGATTTTAGGCCATTTTAATACCACTGCAAATTTCTTTTTTGTATAAAGGTCCTGGAATGCTTAAGAAACAAATATGAACACTTTGGTTCTAAAGCATAGTCAAGGATGACTGGGTTGCTTTCAATAAAAGGCAACTATGAGAAAGGTGTCTTAAATACTTTTGCCTCATCTGTGTATTCTGTTTTACATGTTTGGAAAAAGAGCTGCTTTTAGTACTGTAACTATTTTGGAACGCAGCATTGATCTTTTGTGCACAGTATTGCTCAAGTAGGGCCTCTCAAAGGAAAGTGAATGTTGTAATGGAGGCAGTGTTTTCAGCTGCTGCATGTTTTATAGATGCCTGTTACTCTGTGCAGATGGGGGGAACCAATACACAGGATGGTATTGTGCAGAAGCAGTTGATTCCAGGGGAGGTTGAGTGCTATCCAGAAAATGAGATGAAATTTGTAAAGTGCTTCAAAATGTAGTTGGTTTAAAAATCGCTCTGCTAAGGTCTCTGTTACAAGAAGGAGCAGGGGAATAATGATAAAAAACAACTTTGCCTTTTGTCTTTTTGTCTCCTTTTTTTCTTGGCGGGGGGGCAGGGGGGCAGGGGTTGCTTTTGGAGATTAGATGCAAAATGGTTATTCTGTAGTTGCCTATTACTCAAAACTTGCCATATAAGTGGAGTACAACATTTGAAATGCTAAGATATCCTACACCAGAGAAGAAAACTGTCATGAAACGCTCTTCCAATAGTTCTTGTTTAGCACCTGTGGTGTAAAAAGTAGATCTTGTATGGAGGTATTATTCCATGGATTCCCTAGCAAAGATCTATGCTTTTCTTCCCTCCCTGCAGGCTTATTCACTGTTTATAAATTATCCTTCTCTTTATGGTGTTACTACAGACTATCAAATTAATCCATCAATTTATAACTAGCTAGATATCAAGGTGCTGTGGGAGTCTAATTTTCCAATTTGAGATTGGGCAAAGAAAAATGTTGCTCTGGATGACATTTCTGCTTTAATACAGGAGACTGCATTTAACTACCATCTGTGTAATAAGAAAATAATTTAACTCTGTCAAAGAAAAAGGGAGTAATTTGACTTGGATCTACAGACTGAGCTTTCCAGTCATCCTGCCATGAGTAAATAGTGGATGTAGAAGAAAGCAGGTTCTTGCTTGTCTAAGAATTACAGAACTAACTAGGAGGGGATTTCATTGTCATCTTGCTCTCCATACTTTCTGTACTGTTAACCAGTGATAACATAAGAAAATGAATTCTTAAAGAAGAAAAAAAGGTGTGTGTAAGAGAAAAGGAAAGCAAGCTTTTAAAAGTCTATTTCTTGAATGCTGTTTAGCTTTTGCTCAGGTTTCATACAGGATTATCCTTTTCCTGCTACCTATATAATCTTCTGAAGCTTCTAATTTGTGAAAACTCTATCGTGACTGAAAAAGAGCTTTGTTAACTTGTATGCATAACTGCAGATATATTTTTATTTTAATATGTAAGAGTCTAGAGGAACAGTTGGGACTTCCACATCTGAAAATCTAGCTCTTCTAAGTGTAGTTCTAAAATTGGTGTTGGGGGATAATTTTATACAAACCTTATTTTCTGTGCTATGTAGTTTTAAAACATAGTTTTAAAAAACCTCAGTGGATTTGTACAATGAGGTTTATAATTCCTCACATCTGAGGGGTAGCATTTGGCATGCCAGTAACAGACATGCATCTGCCAGAGCTTCTGTTCTCAGTTGGATCAGCAGTGACATCATTGACAATTACTTTCCTCCTCCATTTTTGTCTGCATCAGAATATTTGAGGGCACAAAGCATCTCTGTGGCTGAGTCAAAAGGAAGAATAACTGTAGCTGAGGGTAGCAGGAAGGCTGCTCACATGTACTTATTGGAGCATTTATTTTTTGTTATTCACGAATCTTCATACAGCAGCATGCTGTTTGAGTCAAGTCTTGCTTTTTGTTTTTAAGGTGGTTTGGGGTTTTTTTCTGCAGAAATATGGACGACTTGTGATCAGAGCTTTATCTGCAACTTCGTTAGTCATGAGCTTCTGTTGAGGCTTAGCATCACGTGTGTTGGGTTTTTTTTTGTTTGTTTTTTTTAAATTACAGGTTAAAGGAAGTCCTGCTTAAGCATGCTTAATCTGTCTCTTAAATTGGAGTGTTAGCTTATTTCTTAAAACTAGCTATAAATGTAGTTTCTGTGGTGGTTATTGTTAGGGTTTTTTTGCTTTCAGCCTGGTGTCTCAAAGAAATGAAGCTTACATGATCAGGCTGCTGATATGCAGCCTAGTAGATTTTGTACCATGTTTGACAAAGACAGAAAGTTCTCAAGAATATTAAGTTCTCACCAGTTACATGGAGATTTTCTAGTGCGTAGAGGACAAAAATTTTTCATGCTGCTTCTTTAAAACATGTAAGACAAATACTGTACAGCTACTCAGGTAACTGGTTATTTTGATGATAGAAGACAATTTATTATTTTCTACATAACCTGTTATAAGGCCGTCAGATTTTCATAATGCTAGGTATATCTGCAAATAGTAGCTTTCTGAAGAGTCGACCTACAGATGCAAGTGCAATGTTAAGAGGAAGGTGATTTTAGCTGAGGGGTAAACATACTTGAGTAAGGGGAAAAAGGACTGCTCCTAGGGAAAAGCTTTATTCCACCAGAAAGACTTATGACAGTCTTGCATTCAGAAATTTACAACACAGAAATCATAACGCTTTGTGAAGATGCTATTTGAATTCTTGGTGGAATAAAATCATGAATTGTTTTACAGGTTAAACAAGATTGTACGTTGTTAAAAGATAAGGAACTTCATTCTTGTCACTTAGTGTACACAAGGGGATCTTTCTAGTGCTCTGTTAAAATACTAATTCATGGCACAACAATATTTAAAGTAGAAATTCAGTAGCATTTTGATAGTCCCTAAAACTGGACAAACAAGACATATTTAATATTTTTGGGGGTTTGGCCGTTATTTAAAACAATGCATCAGTTGTGGTTTAAATTATTTTTTGTGCCGATCTCTTGGAGAGTAGTGTAAATTTCAGCTACTCTATTGAGTGGAGAACAAAACATGTTTAAAAGAGTGGAAAGAAATGTTAGCAACATTGTGTGCAGTTAAGATATATATAGTTCTGTCCTCAGAGTAAGATACAGATATTTCTATCCTCAGAGTAAAACTCAGCCTCTAGCTTTGCTGCTATGCAAAGGAAGTAATTGAAATGTTTATAATGTTTTCTGTCTTGTCTCAGAACTGGTTGAGGTGGATTTTTTAGACGTAGAGAGAGGGAGGTTTATAGTGACCTTTTCCTCTCAAACAGATTGTTAACTTGTAGTTCTCAGCAGCATCTCTTTAGCAAAACTTCAAACTTTGAGTTTAGTCAGTGTCTAATGAGTTCTTACAAATATTTCACGTTTGAAGATAAAGGTTATGTACTACCAATACATTTCACACTTCCAATGGCAGGTTTTGAGAGCCATTAAGCTTTATTCAGAGTTATTACATAAGCATAATATATTTTTTTCAATAACTTGCAGACATTTTTGATATTACTGTTCAAAATATGGGCAACAATGAACTGAAATTAGCTGATAATGTGTCTGTGTTAGCTGTTTGGATGACAAACTTACAGAAGCGCTTCTGTATTTTCATGAATATTGAAAGTTAAATGCGGAAGCCTGAAATAACGTCCTGGATACCTAAGCCATTTAGGAATACAGAACTCTGGGCTGTTTGTCCTTAAAACTGCTAGATAAGATCTTGTTACTACTGAAGTTGGTGGAGGTGAATCTGAGGAGCCAGGACTTGCTGTAGAGCACAGAGATGGCTTTGTGTATGCAGAGAGATGGATCAGTCCTGTTCCTGTGGAATGAAGTTCCTCTTGTGCTTTGTGGTGACAGACGTGGGCCCTCACTTCTTAACTTCCTTTTTTTCCCCTTAATTTCTTACAGATAACCAGTTTCATCTCCTATGCTTCCTATTACTTGTGGCTGGCATAGAAATAATTATGTATAGGACTACCAGTTGAATGTGTTTTAAGTAAGATTCCCATACTAACATTTAAGCAATTTTTATATGGAGTGTATCTTACAAATAAGTTAGCAAAGACTTCTCTAAATGAGATGGGTGTTACTGAGATTAATTTACAACATACTGAGGAGGAAAGGGAGGCAGTGAAGACTATGGCTCTCTAATTATTCAACATCTTGCTCATCCATGTTGCCATTTTCCAGTGCTGGAAGCTCCCTTTCAGGTAGCAGCCCATACTCATTTAGGAAAGACTCCACATCCACAGCAAAAAACTCCTCATTGAATTGTTCAGAAATGCTAATGAAATTGCTCAGAAGCTCCCCACCCTTATATACAAGTAGAGTGGGAAGCACTTCATTTGAGAAGCGGTCTCCAGCCCCTGTGTCGGAGGCCTTGATCTTGCAGAACTTGACGGTGGCATACTCAGCCGCCAGGCAGGTCAAGCTGTTGTTGAGCGCATCGCAGCCCTTGATGCCATCTTCGTAAATGTGGACAATGACAGTGGTAGTTTTCCATTCTTTCTCAATGGTTTCCAGGAACTGTTCCCCATTCTGCAGCTCACACAGGTAACCATACTTTGGCCCAAAACTCAGCCTCTGATGCATATCCTGCATGCAGCGTTTGCGATATTTTTGTAGGCAACTTTCATCTTCTTGCTCATCCTGAATTAATTCATACTCCTGCATGCTCATCTGTGAATATTGAGAGAATGCTATATTAATAATTGTAATCTGTTGGTGCTGAAACAGGGAGAGACTAAGTTGTTGTCTAAAGCACATCGCATCGAAAGCTTAGCCAGGAGAGCAGTCCCTTCCTGCAGTGACTCTGGAAGGTCTCTTCAAGAGACAAGTAAAGATCCTGTCTCAACACTTGCATGTCAACTTGATGGTATGGAAGACAGTTGCCATATTTGGCAAAAACTTCTGGATCGTCCAGAGTTGGTGGGAATTTCACCAGTGACTGTATTGGGGTGGGGTCAGAGTTTAATTCCTGTGGGGTTTTGGGTTTAGGGTCCCCCCCTTTCACAAGTGGTAAATGATAGTAAGTGAGATTGAGGCTCACAGCTCAGAATATTTTGACTAGGAAATTTTTAAATATGTTGAAAATTTTCCATTGCCTTAACCAAGGATAGACCATTGGGGCAGGGGAAGGGAGGAAGAAAGGTCAAACTCTTGTGTTGTGTGATATGCTTATTTACTAAAGTTAGTCTTTGCTTGAGACAGGACTAGATAGATGGTTGCACATGCATTTGTTCTGTTTCTGTTGTGTGAGCTTTGCAAAGTAGAAAAAGAATTTAGTCTGGCAAATTCAGGATTTTTTTTTTATATATATAGAATCAAAATGAACTTATTTTGCTTTTCTTCTCTTACCTTACGGCAGAATCTCTCTCTGCTGTCTTTATCATCTTTACTGAAAGATCTGTGTGGTGAAGACATTTGTCTAAGAATTTCTTTCTTGCTCAAGGATAAAGAGTCTCTGTCTTCACTTTCTAATTTAAACTTCCTCCAGTCATTGATCACACCTTTGGGCCCTAAGAGAGATGAAGTTAGATTAGAAACTGGCTGCAACAAGAAACTGTCTTGAGAAGGTTCTGCTCTTTGTTGGTTCATCCTTCTGTGCTGCAGTTTATCTGTCTACCCCTCTTCCTTCCAGAGCACTCTCCAGGAGTGCTGAAAACCAGAGCTCTGGGACCAGTGTGTTACATTAGTCTCCAAAAGAAGGAAGTGTTTTCCAAACCTGGATTGCTTGGTGGTCTGGTTCCTATCAGGATCCTATAAAAGGATTTTGATGAACTCTGAGTAGTTAATGAGGATGAGGATGTTGAAACTTGTTAAAACTGTCATTCTGGTCAAAGCTAGTGTTTCGTTGAAGTATTTTTGCATTTCTTTATAGGCAGTGTATTTGAATACATAAAATGTGTAAGGACTTCTAGTAAAACTAAGAATACAGGACACTTGAAACTTTTTTTTTTTTTAAAAAAAAACAAAACAAAACAAAGCAAAAAACCAAACCAAAACAAAACAAAAAAAAACAAAAACCAAAACCATACCTGTTCAATTGGAAGAGTAACCTGTAAGGCAAACGCTATGATAATTCTGATTGTAATGCAGATCTTGGTCTTTGGAGATGGTTGATTAAAGCAGTTAAATTTTGGAATGAGAAAAATAAATTAATTTCAAAATTCCAGTGGTATTTTTCAAAATTAAATGTTTTAATCTGCATCTTAGATTATAACGAAAAACAAGGACTATTTTAGTGCTTTCAGTGGTGAGGTTTATTTTATGGAAAATTTAGAAAAGGCTAGGTAAGCAACTCTCCTTCTTGTGAGAGACGTGGTGTTGCCAGTTACCAAGGCTGTTTTGGATTAAATTTCAACATTTTGAAGTCCTAAAGGCACTACACCCCTCAGTGGGAACGGAAGGTGACCTGATCTTTTGCAAACAAGATTCCAAAGCAGGAATTAGCTTGAACCACTTGGCATAGTGCTAACAGTACGGTAGCCTGATTTCCAGAACTATTTGGAAGCCTAGTTGTGGATTTAGTGCCCTACATTTGGGTCCCTAAAAATATACATACAGTAATCTTAGCCAACAACACAAAGGCTGCTTGGGAAATAACTCCAGACAGAGTTATTAAAAGAGCTATATTTATTATAGCACAAAGAAAAAGGAGCCCTCCAGAGCACAGGGAGGGAATGATTGCCATATAGTTACCTGTTGGTGGGGTGGGATGAAGTGGTACCTGTGTGTAGAGCTGAATACAATGTCAGTATTCATAAAAATCACAGTGATTGAGTGCTGGATTAAAAAGAATTGTGATTCTGAGCAAGGATGCTTTTAAAGCTTTAAATGCTGTGCTGTGTTTGCCAAAAGGATTTATAGGTTCACTTTTAGCACTGAATGTTCCTTCTATAAAAGGAAAAAATAATTCAGCCTTTGTAGTGAAACCTTATAACCTAATTCTAGTGTGTGAGTGTGGTTTTTGTTGCTGTTTTGTTTTCTTCTCTTCCCTGGAGGAAGAAAGACCATTGTTCATGACTGAAGCAATAAACCAACAAGAGCTGCATTGTGCCATTGCTGTTGGTGGCTTCTTCAGATGTCTTCTGTGTTTGCCATTTGCTTCATGTATGAGGAGGATTGGCACAAAGATCAATTTGGCCATTCTGTGAGGGGTAGGGGTGTCACTCCATAATACTTTCTCATTGGCTTTGAAGCCTATGTTTCTGTGCAAGGGGTGTGACAAACCAATTGGTTCTGCTCGAATTCTGGGCTTCCCCAGTGAACAGGGACATTTTAGCTTATCTTTAGGAAAAAAAAAAAAAGCAGTTAGTTTCCTTGCCTGTGTGTGTCGCCTGTCCTTCAAAATCTTCTTCAAAGCTGGTGTTGACATTTTCTTCCATTTTGGAGGCTGGAGTAAGAGATGCTGCAAGTTCAAAAGGAGAACAGTTAATAACAGGATAGAAAAGGAATAAGCCTAGAACAGGTACAGCACAGTGTGTAATTACCTGCAGCTGTTAGGTATCAGTGAAGATCAAAGTACACTTGATAATTGTAGAGCTTCTCATTGTCTCATAAAAAACAATTAGGATATAGGTCAGTCTCTTAGAAAAGATACCTGGCCAGATTCTTACTGAAAGTGCCTAGGTGAGGGTTTCTTCATTATGCTGTTTTCTCTCAGTCATTGGAGAATATTGGGAATATGGTGTGAAATAATGATTGTAAAATGTTCTGCCATGGGAATGTGTAGTATTTTCTTTCCCCCTTGGAATTGGGAAACTATATTCCAAGTGCTGTAGGTATTTCTTTTTAAAGGTAGCCTGAACTGCTCATTTCTCATACAGAAGACTGATCCAGGTATTTGAACCTATTGGGCAAGAGACCTCTGAACATCCTGGAGCTAGTCTGCTTGTACTGGTTGGGCCGTATTTGTTAAAAAACAGAAAAAAATACGGGGGTTATAAATCAAAGTCACTTTCTTGTTCCACCCATTCTATAAATAAGGCAACCCAAGGAGCCAGATGGCAATCACAGGGCACTGCAATACAGCAGTACTCGAGCAACACCCTTTTCATCTTTTACAATGGAGTTTTTGAGGGGTGAATTAGAATCACTGTTCTTTGGGGGAAGAGAAGAGGTTTCTCTTCCTGTATTCCCACCGGTGAGGTGAGGGCAGCAGGGTTGGGCCAGAGCATCAAGCTCTTAAGGTCAAGCTCTTAAGGTCAGGCTGATGTTCTGCTGGTTCCTGAAAGTCCTAGGTTTCCTTTCTTAGTTGAAAAATGTAATTCTTATGTGATAAAGTGCCACTGTCCACAGGAGTCTTAAGGCAGGTGATTCGAGTGCTTCCATTTAGTCTAGACTAGCTCAGATGTTAAGGTAAGCTTTATTTGACTTCACCCTTGAAGCAAATGCTACCCACCTTGAAGCAAGTGCTAAGCTGTTATCATGCCATGAATGCTGTATTAAAAAGCTGCTGGTGGTTAGACTAGATTGACGTTAGTGTTGTAGCATGTGCGCACAGGAGGAAGTGCACCTTCATTTTTACATACCAGCGTCAAGGGCTCAAGTGGAATAATGGCTGAGCAAGATACAAAGAATCCAATTCTTTTGTGTATTGGGACTAAAGCTGATTAGTAAATGTGCAGATAAATTGTTCCATACGTGTACTTGTAGCAATTAATCAAAACTTGTTGGAAGCATTGCAAATAAATTTGGAAGAAAAGCAGTAATGAATTATACTTTATTAGTATAAGTTCCTTCTGTAGATAGATCTGTAGATAGATAATTGTCAGCATATAGATCCACATTACTGGATCAATTGCTATTCAATCAATTCTTAAGTAGAAATATGAAGCTAATTTTTTCTCACATATTGCAAAGGTTTTTAGTTTTGCATGTCAGGGATGGACAGCTATGTGGATATGCTGGGTCAAAGCCTTGTAAGTCATTCCTGTGACTTACGTGGATATCTACAAGAAGCTCTTTTGTCTGCTGATGCTGAGGATTTTCTTTGTTCCATGAGGAGAGGGTTTGATTCTCTGTATATTTTTCTGTTTCATAGCTTTTAGCCCTGAAAGGCACTAAAAATACAGGATATGAAAGTTAAGCTGCCTGTTGCAGGTTTGGACCAGCAAAGTGACCATGCTCCTGGTGAAACTTTAGAGATGGGAATGGATTGCTTAAAAAATGAAAGCTCTCTGTAAATTTTATGTTACTTATCTGTTATACCTAATAAATCTGAGAAGATTAGGTGAATCATAACAGCACAGAAAGCTGCATTTCACCATTCTTCTGCAGCATGGCATGAAGCAACAATGCTGATAATACACAGGCTGGTAAGCTGAACATGGACCTGGAGGTGGGGATCTCCTAAAACTTAATCCTGGCCCTGTGACTGAGTCAGGCTGTGCGCCTGGAGCAAGTCATGCAAACCATTTTCTTTTCCACTCGGTGGAGTTATAAATATTTATCATTCTCCTCTTGGTGCTGTGAGAATCGGGCCAGTCAAGCCAGGTGTTTCCCAGTTAGGCCCCTGAGGACAAAGGCATCTGAACATGTAACTGCGAGGTGATCCGTCGGAAGCTTGGTTATAGGATGAGCTGGCTCTCTTGTAGCATACTCTTCCTTCCAAGAAAGCACAGTGGAAAAGGGTGTAAGCTATTGTGTTTAGTCTGTGGGAAGAAATGGGCAATCACCAGAGTAGGAAGTTCTTCCACATCCTCTTGAAGGGTTTCAGTGAAGTTTTTTTGTTGCTGGTTGGGGTTTTTTTTGGATGGTGAGGTGGTGTTCTTTTGTATTTTGGGCAAGCGTGTTTTCCAAAGGAAAAAAATAGGTTCCTAGTATTTGGAGAAATGTGGGTGCTACCAGCTCTGCAGCATATTCTGCAAGTGCCTTCATGAGGAAATGTCAGTGCGTAATGCTGAAGCAGTAAAGCAGGTAGTGTCACAGAGCAGTCTGTAATGACCTATCACAAGGTGTCTTAGGTCTAAAGTTGCCACCTCTCCAGCTTGTCACTTGCCCGGGAGTGCCCGGCAGTGGGGACAGCGAGAGCTGTCCTCTGTGCCAGGCAGCAGCTCTCCCCAGAGCAGCTGCACTTTGCAGCCCCACGGATGGACCGCAGCACTTACATTTGTGCCCCTATCTGCAAGTGGGTCCTGGTTAGGTGGCTGACAGTGCTGTCCTTTAGAAATTATTTGAGATCATCTGTTAATACAATCCCCTTGCACATGAGAGCCTGAGAGCAATGTGAGGCGCAGAGGTCAGAGGCAGAACTTAGCTGTGTGGGGATGGTTGCATTTGATAGCAGTGGGCTTGCATGCTGGAGAACATACATCCCTGGCCATCTCTTGCTGCAACCATCTCTCATAGAATCCTTACTGCTTTAAATCTGATAATTTTTTTCCATGTAAATGTGCTGTCCCACAAGCCTGCTAAATACTTGCTCAGGGTAAGAGCATCATATCCTGAGATTCACAGAATCATCTCAGTTGGAAAAGACCTTGAAGATCCTCCAGTCCAACCCTTAACCTCACACTGACCGTTTCCAACTCCACCAGATCCCTCAGCGCTGGGTCAACCTGACTCTTCAACCCAACCAGGGATGGGGACTCCCCCCTGCCCTGGGCAGCCCATTCCAACACCCGACAACCTCTTCTGGAAAGAAATCCTTCCTGAGAGACAGTCTGAACCTGTCCTGGTGCAGCTTGAGGCCATTCCCTCTTGTCCTCTACCCTATGAGAGGGTAGTCCAGTTAAACAGTAATGCAGGATGATGTGCAGTGATGCTAAAGTGATAATAAATGTCATCAGTAAAGCTACTTGTGTCTGCTGGTTTAGAGTAAGCACCAACAGACTTTCATCAGTAGCTGCATTGCTACTGATCTCAAGTTTTCCCTTTGCCCCATTTCAACAGCATGTGATGTGCCAGATGAACAGTAATCTTTGTGGGGGAAAATTGTGGATTTGGGAGATATATTGCATTTTCATTAGCTTTTGTCATTGGTTTTGACAACTGAAAGCAGCTCCTGATGTTTTTATTTGAAAAGTGTTAATGGGGAGAAAAAAATTTGCCCTGTCAGGTCTGCAGATCATTGAAGTATTAAGCCATATTTTGTAATGCATGTGGTGACTTCACATACATATTTAAGAGACTGATTGTTCTATAACTACTTTATTTTCCTGTCTTTATGTCAGATTTTCTGAGGAAAGCAAAAATTACAATTTCTTTATAAAGGAGATCTGAGCCCTTTGAGTCCCAAAAGTCACTTCTTTAGCAAGAAAAAAGCCCAAACTCGAAGCATGTGCCTGAAGCTACCATTTAAGTTCTATGAGCTTTGGTTCTGTTGTGGCTCAAGAATAGCATCTCCTGTTACTGATGCTCATCCTTTTGCTGTCATTAGACCAGATGGGCCAGCCTTACTACAGGGTAAAAATGACCATTTAGTAAGGTGTTTTCCTTTTTATCCAGTATGAAAAAATGCTTTCTATTTAGGATAAAATATTTTGTGCCTTTGGCCTTCAGAGAGTTTTACCCAAAATTACTTTTTTTTTTTTTACTCTTACGCATATTGCATTTCTGAGGTAGCTCAGGAATAAAGCACTTGTACCTGTGTATTTGTAAGGAAGGCTTACTTAATCCTTGTAAGATATTGTAGTTGTAAATACAAAAATACTGTCTTCTAGTGGTAATTTATAGTTATGGAAGAGAGAGAAATTAAAAAAAGAAAACCCAAAAAACAAACAAAAAAACCCTGCAGAAGGCAAGATGCATTCTGTAAAGGACAAAGCCAATAAATAAAACTTGCTTTCTTAAGTAAGAGGTTTTGCTACTAGTCCAATAAATAAACACAAGAAATATTTTTCTCAAAATATAGGCATGCTCTAGGCAGATTTGCTGCTCTCCATATGTGCAAATCCCACCAAAAAGGCTGTTCTGTCTTTGGGTTTACGGAAGGCTATAAATCAGCAGCACTCTGCTAATCTCCAGCAATGGGTGGGATACTGCCTGTGAACTGGTTAAGTATGGTATTTTGGGAACTCATGGAAGAGCAAAAAGTAAGGTATGTTTTTCAGTGAGGTGTGATTGCATATTTATGTTCTGAGCTACGTCTGGTTGGTTGATCCATTGGTGCGTGTGCCTGGAGTCTCCCTAGGGCTTTTGCCTCTTGGAAAAGTGTCTGACTTTTAGCAGCACTTCCCATTTTAGCAGCACTTCTCTATTTCCAACAGACTATTCATTTTTCATGCTGTGTTCTGTATGTTGTGTAGTTTGTGCTGTTAGTCCATATCATGTTCTCTGAATGAGAGACTGGGCAGGGTTTTGGAGGACATCGATATTGTATGAACCAAGTGCTTTACAGCTGGTCCCTTTTTAAAATAAAAGCGGGGGAGGTAGTGAGAGCACTATCCATCCGTGGTCATGTATGCA